CAACTTGCCAGAAGAGAAGGCCAGTCTCCCGGCGAGTTTTGCACGGGGACCCTCCGGTGCCCGTGGTTGCCTTCGCCAGGTCATTGAAGGCGTCTGCCGAGCAGTGACAGAGGCCTCAGCAGCCGTGGCTCTTCTTTCATCTTTGGCCCCCCCATTTTGGTCGCTTCCTGGAGGCATCTGCAGGAGCCCCCAGCGGGCGTCGTAACTGCTCCAGCCTGAGACCACCACAGAAATGTGCAATGATGCAGGTGAATGAGGTCAATGATGCAGTTTTGGGCCAGGTTTCAATTACATCGGTGAGCCTCCGGATATCAACAGCTACGTCTGGCAGTTGTACAGGAGACTGGGCGACCTGCAGCGCAACTGCGGGGTAGCACTGGCAGGATTTCAAGGTGAAACTGACAGTGTTTATGACTGCAGGAACTGCTGCTGTGACACGATGACCTTCGTCGTCCCCTCAGCAAAGAGCAGGGCGAAATTGTGCAGAGCACCCTGCATCTGAGCGGCGGTGCTCTTTGAGGTCTGGGCTTTCGCTTACTTGTGCCGGATCTCCGAGAGCAACCGCGGCAAGGCGCCAGTCGCGTGCCTTTCTGGGTGCGGGTTTTTTGCAGGGTGTTTGCTGGGCAGGTGGACGTGAGCACACAGACCATCCACCGGCTCCTCCTGGCCGCCCCGTGGCCGAAAGCGCTGACGCCACGACTCCCCGCGAAAAAAGAGCCTTCTTCCAGCGAGTTTTGCTGAGGCGGTGACTGTCGCAGCGAAGTCTGGCTGGCTTGTAGCCTCTGAGCGAGTCTTTCTGCTCATATAGTGCACTCTCTGCCAGGCAGCAGCAGCTTTATATGTACGATAACAGCTTCTACGCGCAAGTCCGCGTCCCGATGTGCGAGCCTGGCATTCGTGACAACCTTTTCGTTGACGTGAGGCCGGCAATGTAAGCACAGCGGATCTGAACAAGCTCGAGGAGCCGAGGGAGCGGTTTCGCCATTTCCCTGAAGCCCGCTGCATCCCGAGCTGCGAGGCACGGTTTTTGGAGTTGCTCAATTGGAATCTCGACGTTTGCCCCAAGACTTTCAAGAGGCGGAGACAGGGAGCCTTTGTGAAGCCCAACTTGAGATTGAGTGTCCTCAGGATTTTTCGCCTCCTTTGCAGAGCTGCAGCGTGACGAGACACGGTCTTTTCGGAAGTTCAGATCCGCGCTGGGGAAGAAGCTTTTCGCATGGCTGTCAAGTGCCTGTGCCTTCTTGGGCAGATGGGCTTCAGTTCTCTACTAGTGCTTTCTTCTGTATTCTCTATTCACCTCAGTCATCATTCTCGTGACGTGTAACACTTTTGGCAAGTGGCAGCATTTTGGAGTTTGGAACAAATCAGCACATCCAGTGCTCGACGGTCTCAAACCCACGATTGTGTCGTCTCAGCACTCGGATGTGGCAAGATAGGCATCGGTTTCTTTTTTATAGGGCAAAAAACAGCTTCTAGTCGCTTTGCTGTAGGCAAAAGGATCATCGAGAAAAGATTCAGAAGCTGTTTTTTTCACTTTTGTGGAGATGCCTCCCTTGCAGCTTCGCAGCCACTAGACATTGAAGTCTTTTAGCATTTTGTGCAGCAAAGACTTCAGTAGCGCAGTAAAGTTCTCACCCGCAGCTGCCCAGCAACAGGTGAACCTGTCCCTACTGTTTGGTTCCTGTGCACTGGTTCTTTACTGTTAGAGATATCAGCCTTGATTCCGAAATCTATCAAGCAGCGAATGATGCGCAGGTGCGGGATTTTTTCGGAATTCACAAGTGTGGTCGACGGGGTCGGCTAACAACGCATTGTTTGTGACTGCCTGCACGTGTTCATGACTGTTTACTAGCTCACTAGACATGCTCATCGTGAATGTTTTGTGTGTGCATTTTGCAGCTATTGGCCACAACTTGTCCAGCGGTCCGCCCCCGCATGTAAAGAGTGAAAAACAAAAAGGGCATGAAACAACTAGAGGAGCGTATCTGAACAGCAAGAAAAAAGCCCGAAAAAGCGAGAAGCGAAGCATTGCGAAGCCACCAAGGCGGCGGGGGGACCGTAGTTGGATGAAGAAACTGACGCCCCGTTGAAGATAAGAGCTTAGAGGATGACTCGGGGAGTAGCCCCTCAGGCCTCCTGCGACAGTTTGGAGATGCGCTTGTCAGAAGGCAAGCGGGCGCCTCCTTCGTTTGGATTATGCAGTCAAAGTGCTGCGCAAGCGAGCTGCAAAGCTATGCAAAGCTAAGAGCAGCCGTGTGACAAGGCCTTTGATTCACTGTAGGGTGCTGCAGCAGGATTTCCTGCAGCACACGGGCCCTCCTCTCGCTGGCACAGTTCGCACGCGCCGCGACAGTTGCAGCCCTACAAAGGACCGTCAACTTGTTTCGCAGTTGCCGTCACACCTTTGAACACTTTCAAAAAAGCGATGCCAGCGTGCACCATCTGCTCAGCGGCAAAGCTCAACCTATTGATTGAATCTTTTGACTCGCAGTGGTCACCGCCAACGTGCGGCCCTTGAAGACCTGCAGTAATAGGTCTTTTCGGGAGGTTTCCCTTAATGGGCAAAGATTATGTTCATGAGTCCTGTTGCTGCCTGAGATGCCAGGTCTTTTGGTTTCTTGGCGATGGCGGTAGTAGACCACACCAAGGCGTTGGAGTGGCTCTCAGAAGAATGCCATCCGGCTCTGGCCGAGACTCCGGATGATGTCCAGATGTGGCATGCCCAATTCTAACGATTCGGGCCCCCAGGCAATGCTTGGCTGTTTCCAGGAGTTGGCAAGGTGCTGCTCCCCTATTCCGTTTTGGGCTCTCCCGATGTTCTACAGTCGACTCCAAGCGTTCTGGATGTAGCGAGTCTTGAATACTGTTGGGCAGCGCGTGGGCCGCCTGCAACATGACTAGCTGCCTAGGGCCTCTAGCTGGTGTCGCTTTGCTTGAGGATCGTGTCTTGGAGCCGGAACGATGTCAGAGAGTGGTGAGCACTGCGGTCGAGATATACATATATAAAACATATGCCTTGGAGTTTCTGCAGCGGTGAGACGCGCGTCCGAAAAAGGTTCCAGGTCCTTTGCTGCATGTGCAATGACCTTGGCAGACGCGTATGGGGGATCCAGGGGAGAAAGCAAAAACAAAGCACACTTGCATCCTCGGCCCGCAGAGCGCAGCGCCGCGCTTCTCTGTCTATGTCTTTCGCTTGCGTTGAGTCCGCGGCAGCGATGCCGGAGAGGCGCAGGGGGGCGGAAGCCGGAAGGCCGGGGGGGGGGGCCTCTGGTCAGGCGCCGGCCGGCGATGGAAGGCGGCAGAAGGAGGCACAGAGACGGCGGCATGCCCGCTGAGGAATTCTGCGGGGGGGGGTGCGCGCGCTTCCAGGTCCGTGAGGCGGCCCTTGCTGCTGGCCTCCTTGCTTTGCTTGGCCGTGATCGAGGCCCTGTGCCAGGCTGGGCTCGGAGGGAGGGCCTCCCTTTGTCTTTCTGCGCCGGTGCGCGCCCCCTGCCTGTCGCATAAAAAAGGCAGCCGCGCAGCGCTTCATCGGACCCCTGGGCGAGCCGGCAGCTCGCCCCCAGACGCGGGAGCGGACGGGTGGGCGCGCTTGGGGCTGCCTAAATCCTCTCGGAGGCGAAGAAGCCGGAAGAAGCGGCGGGGTCGGTCGCGGGGCAGGAACCCGATGAGAAGCTGCACGGCCGCAAGCAGACGCTGCAGCTTACCCGCCTGTCTCCATTGCCTGAGCGCAGGCCTGACTGGAAGGACGTGGGCCAGCTCAGGAGTTCGACTGGAAGGCAGCTTGTGATGCTATCTCCGCATGTCGAGGCCGCATATCAGCGACAGCTAGATCGGATCAATGCGCGAAAAAGGACTTGGTCAGGGCCGTGCTTTGGGGGGGGGGGGGGCTTCATATGTCTCACGTGTTTGCAGGAAGCAGTCGCCGGATTACAAGGAGTCCGCCTACGAAAGGAAAGTGCGTTTGCGCAAGGCACGGGGTTACGGCGGTTACGGAAAGGGGAGCGTGGCCTTTGCAAACCCAGATGGCGATGTGGAATGCGGCGCAGAGGAAGGGCGTGAACGAGGCCAGCTTTGACTTTGTGGAATGTTGAGGGAGGCTCCGGCACAGCTCGAAAGAGGTGGGTGCGCGAGACTCCACCACCATCGACATCAAGGTGCCCCGAAAAAGAGGGAGCGTGGGAGTGCCGGGAAGTAAGGGGAAACGGAGGTGAAGCTGGTGAAGCCCTTCGGCATCGAGTTCGAAGAACGCCGCTGGCTCTGGCTCCGCTCGGCTGCGTGGGGGGGGACTTCGGGGGGCGCGCAGGGACAGACGGGGGCCTTGAGGTGAGGAGGACCCCAACCGAGTCTGGGTCGGCCGAATAATGGAGGAAGGATCAGCCTTCAAGAACGGAGAGGCGTGTAGCGGCAGTGAAACTGGGAGTCTAGCCGAGCTCGGCGTGGCAGGTGGAGACCGGAGACTTCCTCACCACGGTGAACGGTCAAGACGTCCGCTGCTTTGCATCGGCTCGCAGGGCCTCTCAAGGTTGCAGGTGTTGCAGATGTTCTGAGATCGCTGTGCCCTACTTGTCAAGCCGGCACTCGGCCGATTTCCGCTGTCGTTCTCGGTCGAGGTTCCGTGCGCAACTCGTTTGCCAACAGCATGTCCAGGAAGTGCAACCGCTCGAGACACACCCTCCAATCTTTGAATGTTTGACTAGCCTCTCAGCGGGAGCACCGGGATGTCGAGCAGAGCCAGAAGCCTCGCCGTGTCAGCACAGGGGCAGTTTGTGATGAAGCGAGGCGTGCCACAGAAGCGGGTCACTTGGCCAAGACAGATGTTCCACCATCATACTTGAAGTCGCCTCGAGTGCGATCCCTACAAGTGTTCGATGAGAAGAGGCTGGTGCAAGTGCTTCGCCAGGCCATGCTGCAAGAGCCACGAAACCTCCGAAGCAAGACAGGCTCACAGATCGCGATACGATGCGCTCGGGGCGGCACACACATTGCCCGAAAGAGCATGGGCTGTCGAAAGGGAGAGGCGGCTCTTTGCTTGACGGCCTCGGCCCTCGTTTGCTGGAGAAGGAGCGGTGTCTAGCATCAAAAACGAGTGGGGCCCACAGGTGCGTCAGGAGGAAGGATAGTTTCTCTCACTCTCTCCCGTCGGCCGTAATTGCAAAGCTCCTCAGGCATCATTTTGGGACAGTCTTGCATCCACAAGTGTCGACAATCACAGGGACAGTAAACTCAGAATATCATGCTTCCAGGGTTGGAATTTCGCAATCCTCGTAGCTGTCGTTGTTGGGCCTCGAGACACGTTTTGTGGTCACCTCGTGTCCATCAAGTGCCTCGTGGAGCCCTGGCTCCTTGTGTGCATTGGTGGCCCCTATGACTTGCGGCATCATCTTTCTGGCGCTATCCCACCGCTGCGGACAGTCTTCCTTGTGAAGTCCGTCACACTGCGCACTCTGCTCATCGCACGATATCTGCAAATCACTCAATCAACTTTTACGGCCATCCAAGATGACAACAAATATGCGAGGGGCCATACGATATGCCGGTCTATGGCAGGTGGAGGGCAAGCCCTACGATGAAGCCTTGCAGTACCTCGTGGATGCCGAAGGTTCGGAGTTGGCCGGAGAGTCGCCTTTCGTTGAGAACACACTCTTTTTGAGTTGTTTCGAGGTGAGATTGACCTGATCTTCAAGCGCATCTACGTGGCCTGAGAAGTGCGTGACAGTTTCCCTTCCCCCTGCCCAAGGCACCGCTGAAGCGATCGGTTGCGGAGCTGCTGAGCTTCGCGCCTTCTCCCTCCCTCTCCCCCGTGCTCCCACCACTATCGGCTTTGGCCCCTAGAGAACGCAATTTTCCGCTTGCTTCTTGGCCGCCCACCGATAAAAGAGGGAGGTCGCACCGGCATGCGCCGGCACCTCTTTGCCGTGGCATTCAGTGAGAGACATGTGAAGTAATTTCGAACTCCGGAGAGGATGGTGGCGGACTTGAGTGCACAGTTTCGGCCGTTTGATCTGCAGTATGGGTGTGGACGCCAAAAGGCCGAGCAGACGATGAAGCGTTTTCCGAGCATCATGGAATATAATTGTGCGTGTGACGGCGGCTGCAACCGAAGATGGTTCAAAGCCATGGGACCTTGCCAAGCCGGAACTTGCCCTTGGCTCCGGGAGAATGCTTGGCAAACCGAAGGCATGTTTCATGGCGTTCTTGTTGGATGCGTTAAAGAGAAAGTCGTCGGAGGCCCGCTGCTTCTGCATCGTCCACCCGGAGTCGGAGCAGTGTCCAGACATCAGCTTCAGCCAGACCTCCATCCAGGTGAAGCTGCCCTGCGTAGGCCTGCTGTCATATATGTGTCACCTCTAAAGAGTTTCTAGAGTTCTTCGAACTTCCACAGCCAGCAAGCGCGACGAGGTGAGGAGGGGCCACGCGGGCAACAGGCCCCCACAGCATCAGCGCGCCTTTGGGCCCTCCTTGTGCACTGCGGGGAGGGATGGGGGAAAGGCATGCGTGTTGCGCGTTGAAGGCGGAGGACGTGCTGCGGGACTTCGCCTTCGACCGGGTCTTCGGCCCGGGCGGTCCGGGTTCGGGCCAGGCGCGGATCTTCCAAGAAGTCGCCCAGCCCGCCGTCCAGGCCAGGTGGCCCGGAGTCTAAAAGCCCAGCAAAAAGTATAACGGGTTCGGAACTGAGAGGACGCCGTGGAGCGGCTGGAGAGCTGCTGCTTCGTGGCCCTGGGATGCAGCGGCCACGGGAAGACCTTCGCCGTGACCGGGGGACCCCGGCGCTTCGAGGATCGAGGCCTCGTGCCGCGTGCCATCTCCTGCCTCTTCGAGCTCTTGAATGCCAAGACGAACCGGGAAGACTTCCAAGTGAAGGTCTCCTTCTTCGCCGCAGGGCGGCAGAAAAAACCCACCTGAGTTTTCACCCATTTCTGGTGCTCTTCCTTGGAACTTTGCTTTTTGAGTCTTCTGTGTTGAGACCTATTTCGAGGAGCTGTACAGGGACAGCTTCTTGGACCTCCTCAGCAAGCGGGCTCCGGTGAATAGCCGGGTTGGGCAGAGCCAGAAAGACAGGATGCCGTGCCCGATGGAGCGACCGGCTGCGCAGGCGGCGCAGGCGGCGTGCGTCAGCTGCGTCAACGAGAGCGAAGCGTACCAGCGGCTCTTCGAGGGTGACGCGCGCCGGCATTTCGAGAGGCTGCCGAGGAACCCGGAGACCTCCCGGGGCCACGTCTTCTTCCAGCTTCACCTCAAGAAACAGTCGGAGACCAAAGAGGCCGTCCTCTCCTTCGTGGACCTAGCCGCAGGGGCACAGGGCGCCCAGTGCCCTCGAAACCAGGCGACGGAGAGCATCGAAAGCAGTTTGCAGGAGCTGCGGCAGCTGGCGCGCAGCGCCCTTTGTGGAGGGCTTCCGGAGCCGTTGCCGGAACCGGGGCTACTCTGTTCCTTGCTGCTCCCTTGGCTGCGGCCGGGCGGCCTTTCTCTGCCTTCTTTGGTGACCTTGTTGCCTTTGAGGTGGCAAAAGCAGAGCGGCAGCGAAATCTACGACTTCTTGCAGCTTGTCCGCATCCTGCACCAGGCCGCGAAGAGTCGCAGTCCACAGAGAAACGGAGCGGGACCTCCGATACCACGAAGCCCGCAAAGCCAGGAGGAAGCTTCCAGGGAGGCAGACACCGTGAACTCGCCAAGCGATGCTTTGACCACCTGGTCGCCTTGGTCAGCCGTGGTGGTTCACAGCCAGAAGGCCGAAGAGGCCTTGGAAGCCGAGGAGCTCGCCGGGGCCGAGGTGGGGCCCAGGCCAGTTCCGATGAAGTCCGAGTTGCCGGACCCTCCGCCCCTCGGACCCAGACCCGGCCTCGACCCCCTTGGCCAGCTCTTGGGGCGCCTTCCAACCCCGCTGCGCCTTGGTGGCCCTCGCGGCGGCCCGCCTCCGCCTCCACTGCAGCCGCCTGCAGAGCTCTCGGAGCCCCCCTGCGCTGGTGCCTCGGCCTCGGCCGCAAGCACTCCCATGCGAAGGCCCTCAGTGATCACGCTGCCGAGACGAGTGTCTCTGACTGCAACTTCGCAAAGAACGATGCTTCCTGTACAAGCACCCTCAGACGTCGGCTACTCGCTGCCTGGCGGCTTCGAGCCACCAGGCCACTGCACAGTGCGGTGCGCTGTGTCCAGGTCTCCAAGTCCCTGGCAGATGGCCGCCGCTCCGCAACTGCGGCCACGGAGCTGCGACACGTGGAGGGCCGTGGGTTCGAGGGCCGCGGGATCCGCGCCTCCTTGGGCCGCGCCGGCCCCGGCTCCGACTCCAAGTTGCACCCTCCCAGCACTTGGCCAACCTTGGGCTCCTCTTGAGAGAACGGCTCCGCACGGGACGGCTGCTGCGGCGGGAATCCCAGCGGGAGCGCGCACCGCACACGGGGATACCGTCTTCCTGTCGTGAGAGTCAGACTCAGGTCCCGGCCGTCGCTGTCGGCATCCCCGTGCCGTTTTCGCTGGCCTACCCGTGCTACTCTTCCGGCACCTCTGTGCCCGGGCCCGAGCAATCCATGGCAAGCATGATTGAGTACATGAGTATCGCAGGCCGTCGTATTCGCCGGTGCCGATGCAAAGATACCCGCTGCTTGCCTGCCTGAACGCCGTGTGAAGCAAGCTTTCCCTCTGCAGTGCAAGTGGCGAGGTGGTCCTTGGGCGCTGCTGGTGGGCGTAGTCGCAGCAGTTCTCCCTGCCCTCGTCCTGGTGCCGGTGCTGCCTCAGTACCGCTTCACAGGAGCTGGGGGCTGTGCAGCACTTAAAGAACCCTTCACCTAGAATCGTCGTGACGATGTGCCGATGCTAGCTGCTAGCATTGGGCAGGGACGGGGAGAGAAATTTCGGAAGCAAAACAAGCCTGAGGCTTTCTCTGCTCGCAGGACAGGGTCTGTGCCCAGGGTCCCTTTGGTGGCGAGGTCTTGGATCCCGGCAGGCCCGCAGACTGCCGGCCCTGCAAGGCTGACGAATCCTGAGCAGGCTTGACTCCAATTCGCTTTAAAGCGGACTGGCTGGCGACATGTCAGTCTAATTAGGAGCATTGCTTCCCGACCAGTGCCAAAGCATCATTGCGCGGTGCTGTGCCTGCTGACAAGACAAGACGCGCAGCTCTGCATTGGCATCTGGGTTGTCTTCGCCCTCTGCGCATGGCTGTCTGGAGAGCCCTTCCTAGGTCCTAGCCGAACCAAATAAATTAGAAGCCGCGCCCGGCGCCACCCTCAGCCATGCAGGCGCGCAGAGCCAGCAGAGCCAGTCTGTTTCTGTCAGACCCAATGAGACGAGAGTGGGGGCTTTGACAGGGAGCCTCCCCCCTCCTCCCCCCCCCAGAGCTAGGAAGGTAAAGCCGTACGTATTAGCGTTCTCTGAGCCCATGGCGACCCGCGCCACGCCGGCGGCATGGATGAAGTCGGGGTCTTCGAGCACTGCATTGGCGCCGGCCGGTTGGAGGCTTGCTTTGGCTTCTTTACTGGACTCGCTGACCTTCTCAGTGCCAGGGCTGGTTCTGCAGTTCATCCTACGACAACGAGAAGACAGGATGGGGCAGGGGCCAGAATGGGGGTTGGATGGGATTGGGGTTGGAAGTTGGTGGTTCTGTGAGACCTCGGCTGCAGGATGGGGGCATTTGGAGTCCGACAGCTCCTCGACAGCCCAAGAGTCTTCGATTTCAAACAGCACCGAGAGCTGCAAGAGCTGCGAAAGCGTGTGAGGTTTCGAGGGCCACCTCTTCTTCCACCTGCAGCGCAGCCCTTCGCTGCGAGGAGTTAGGTACTTCCGGAGGGTGCCTCGCCCGAAAAGGTGTCTTTCGGCTTCGGCCGAAGGCGGAGCCGGGATCCCTGATTGCAGGACCCTGTGGCCTTCGAGGTGGTGGAGTTCAACGGCCGCTGCGAGGCTGTAAAGCTCCTCCTGCCAAGCAAAGAGCAGAACGAGGAGGCGACGGCCCAGAAAAAGAGGGGGACCCGGGAGCCACCGCCCGGCCCTTTCTGGGACTTGCAGGTCTGGAAGGTGGAGCCAAGAGAGGTCTTGGGCCAGACCGTGGAGGGGCGTCTCGGCGCAAGACGACCCAGACTTCTCCGTCTTCTGCGCTCCCTCCATCTCTGGGTTTAGGTCTTGCTGGCCCTCCGACTCACCCTCACTCTCTCACTAAATCTCGCTGTTCTCATCTATGCATGAAGTCTTGCTGCGCTGTGAGGCGACTGAGCTGCAGCTGGCAGCTGGTCAAGGCTCAGATCCTTGGGTCAAGTCCCTGCCAGTCAACCAGTCCCAGTCCACGCTTTGGCAAAGGTTGCTTTCCTTGCACATCTTGCAAGCTTCTGAGACAAGAAATCCAAGGAACTGGGGTTTCGTAGTCTCGGACTTCTTCAAGGGCACCGTCTTCTGGCACGTCGTCGACAATCCCGAGATGGTGGAGCGCCTGCGACAAAACCGCCCCCTCCGTATCCGCAGCACTGCATCCTGGAACATCCCGGGGGCCACTTCGCATTTGGCAGGACCTGGAGTTCTCTCAGGATGATGTTGTGGAGTTTGAGCTCTACATCAACACCACCAGAGGCTCGAGTCGAAACCGTCAAGCACTTGAACAAGCCTTGATTGCCGCTGCAGGAGACCAGGTCAGAGCAAGGACAGGTCACACGCACGCGCCCGCTCACCCCATGGCAGCGCACCGGTTTTGGAATGGCTGCGTCTGTGAGGAAGATGAAGTTCCTGCGCGCGGCCGTCAAGGACCCAGTGGCAGAGAAGGCACCTGCCGGTTTCGAAGGGTCATGAAAAAGCGTCTAGCATCACTGTTCCCTCATCGACCGCGCAGTGCTGTGCGGTGCGCAAAGTCTGTGAGTGGCAGGCAGAAGAGAGCAGTTGCTTGTCCGACAATGGGCCTGTGAGTAGAAGTGGGCCACCTGCCTTCACTAAGGCCAGAGGCGCTTGGAAAAGAAGCATCGCTGGCTGGTGAACTGGCGCAAGGGGCCTCCACCGGACTGGATTTGCAAAGGTCCGGGCGGTCCGGGGCGCGGGCCCCCGCTGGCGAGGTATCTTCTGCACTGCTGCACAGGCTGCAGCTACCCGAACTTCGGCAGGAACAAGACCTGCAACTGGGTCTTCCATGGACCCGGCAAGGCATCCAAGATGCGTCTACTTGCAGCCTGAGGCAAAGTTTGTGGCCATCCACGGCCTCCCCGTGAAGAATGGCCTCCAGAGGAGGAGGAAGAGCTGCGAGAGGATTGGCGAGTTTTGGCATTGTTGCAGCCATTAGGCAGACACCCTCCATCACCTTGACCCTCGCACATGGCTGCGGGCAGCTGAAACCCCTCCCTTAACGAAGGCACGCAGTAAACCCAATGCCAAATGCCCACCCACCCCCCCCACCCACCCACCCACCCACCCACCCACCCCCCCACGCACGCACGCACGCACGCACGCACGCACATGCTTTAGCCGGAAGGGTGACTAAATTGCATACAAGCCATCGAGCCTCCGGCATCATGTCTAAGAGCAGCAATATCTGGAAAACACATCGGCAGTAGCTGTTGTTAGAGTCGAGAAAAGCAAGGCAGAAGCAGGGCTTCTGACAGCCTGTCTTGAGTTACAAGTACGACGTGCTGACAGGAAGCTTGGTATGGCAGTCCTCATCAGGCACACAAGCATCACGTCTGAACGCTGTGCGTATTTCGTCGAAGGTCCTCGTCTCGATCAAGTACAGCAAGCTGGACGCAAGCATCACAATCAAAGCCAGCCTCAGTATCCAGCAAATCGGAACATCGGGAGCATATTCACATGCTTTGTGCTCCCAAGTCACGTGTACATTAGCACCGGGAGGGCTTCAAGCCTGAAACCATTGCAGGTGCAAGCATCATGGCTCAATCTGGGTAGGCCGGTCTTGCAGCCAGGCATCGAGTTCTTGAAGGCATCCTTGATGATTCTTGAAGAAAGCACATCCAACCACTGAAAGCAACTGAGGACTGGCAGACCGACTCAGGCGAGGCTCTACCAAGAGCCTGAAAGTCTCGAAATACCGAAGCAGCTTCAGCAGACGAAGAATGGGCAGCGCGAAAAGAAGAATGACCTTCACACTGATCTGAGGCTGCCGAACCCTCAAACTGATCGTGGCTGCTTTCGGCTCGCGACACGCTCTTGATGCTACACTGAGAACACTTTGTGTACTCCGTCGCCTGGACATGGCCGGCCTCAGCCCGCCAGCACTTGAGCTTCAGTGTGCGACGACACATATATGGATGAAAACAGTCAACATGGATTTCAAAGGGTGCTCTCATGTCGTGTGACTTTTTGTACAGGGCCGCTCAGAAGTTGTCATAGCAGAGTTCGATGAACTGCCAGGGTGCATGATCGTACGGCATGTCCATCACAAAGCCGATGCTGGCCTGAGCTAACGTGCTTCAATCTTATGCAACACTTCGCCATGCTATGTCGAGGTACACTCACCCTCTTGTGCTGCGATTTCGGCAGCACGTCAGATCCCAGAGTTACGCCGAACGTCAGCATTGCAGCGTGATTCTTGCTTGCAGTTATTGATTACTATCGTGGAATTGCTCTTGCAGAAGGCAAGAGATGCGCCTCGCAGTGAGCGTGTATGAGTTTGTCTTGCTTTCTATTGTATCGACAGCGCACATGTAAATTCTGCGTCTAGAACCGGTTCTAGTCTTCAAGGATCTGTTGCCGCACAGCCGGTGTTTGATAGTATACCTATGCCGCCTATGACCATGTCGAAATATTCACATGCGTCGATGTTTGCGGCACCAGCGATTGCAATACCCTCTACGGATTACAGCTGCGTGTTTAGCACTCTCACGTGAGACGGACAAACATGCATGTACGACTGTAGGTATGCAATTATGCATGCAAGTATGCATGCATTTTTCCCCTCCTTAGCAAAGAGGAGCCCGCAATGCAGGGTGTATTTAGGTATGTAGGTATGCAGGTATGTATGCATGCATGTATATATGCGTGCAAGCATGTGTGCCTGTGTGTTTTCTCCGTGTGCCGTATGCTCATCCGTACGCCTTCATGTGTGGACATACACAAACATACACACATACACGTGGCGGGATGGGCAGTGGGATCGCATGCAACACGGCGCGCTTTATCTTGTGGTTTTTTCTCCACATCGTTTGAGCAGAGCCGCTCTGAGAGGTAAACCGAACGCCGATAGCATATCTGCCCAGTTCAGCGTGTTCTTGAAGTACTCCCTCTTGGACGGAGCTGAGAAGACTCGGCAAAGGAACCTTCGGGACTGCAACTGTGCACAACCATTGCCGCTTGCAATGTGCACGGGCTGCGAATATGGAACACGGGAGCATCTGAGACCGGAGCTCTATCAAGAATACAATGTCGAATGTTGTCTCCAGAAATGCTGCCGTGAGCCCCTTCAGCAGAGACTCCTGCAGCGAGGTGCATAGCAATCAGATTTCGGTGACACTATACTTTGGACAGACTGGACGATGCAAGCTTGTGCCCAGTCCTGCGTGATCTGCAAGTTGGTCACAATGATGCTGAGAATCACTGCAACCTGATCCAGGGCGGAAGCTTGCGGCATTCTCGACATCCGTGGAACCTTTACCCGCATTTAGCCTTGGACCATACGATGCCTACAGTACGAACTTGCCAAAATTAACACAGCGGTCTCTGGACATCTCGAAAGCTCATGAGACTCTTCCCGTGGCGGTATCGGTACAAGCCGCTTCGCCTTGAGCGCCTGCGAAATCCACCAGGCAGCTCCTGCAACCCACGCCACTTGACTCGGTCATTACCTCTGCTAATGCAGCGAGCACATCTTCGGAGCACTGAGCAGAGCACTGCTGGACTCTGGGTCATCGAGCATCTCCCATATGTCATCACAGCGGCTGCGGTCTCAGTCTGTTTCGATGAAGGCATAATGATGGTAATTGCTTCTGCTCTGCTTTGGCTTCGTAGCCTAAAGTCCAAGGTACACAGCAGGCGCATCATCGGCTTCGTTGCAGCCGCCTCATCCTGATGCTTGAACAGCTTCTCTTCTTCTTCTTCCACTCAGCCAAAGCAGTAGCAGCTTCCCTTCGCTGGAGCTTAAGGCTTACAATGCTTGATTGTGTCAGACAAGTCCGTGAGCAAGGCCTTACCCCCGAAGATTTCCGTCGCTATCTTCAGGTCCACTGTCCGGGCCTCGGACTGCTGGGTTTCGTCGGGCCAAATCGTTCGACAAGAAACTGAACTGGCAAGTTCGGCCAACCTGATAAACCGCAGGACGAGTTACCTTATGAATATGCCTCCGTGGTCGAGGTGCCGCATCCTTGCAGCTTGCGATTCCGGGCATGATCCAAAATCACGATGTGAATGCTTAGGCCCTGGCAGGATCATGAGCCTCGCCTTCTGACGTCTCCTCAGAAATCTGGGAACGTCGTCATCTGGTGCGGGCAACCCACAACTCGGTGTCAGGGGTGGATGCAACCAAGACGCATCACACCATGCGACGGTCCCTTGCCGATTTCCGAAGCTGACGACCTGATGCCGCAAGGATGTGGACTCAGCCTCAGTTGTTCTGCTTGGTCTTAGACGCCCGTCTCGAAATAAATACAGACAGTGCATATGATCTGGTCGATTGTCGAAGCGAACTGAAAGGGGGGCACAGAAGTATTCCCGAGAAACCTGATGGATTCAAAGAGGTACATGCCTGAAATGGGACAGACAAGGATCCAAGTTTGCATCGCTGTCAGACATTGCAAAAGCATCGGGTACCACTGCAAAAAGCGGTTCTCCTGGTGCACCACAGCGCCGCACAGCATCTATTCCGTGCTCATGACATGTAGCATCTGCCTTCAGCAAGCTCATGCCTGTCGTTTGCTCAGCTAAAGCGGTTCGATGAGCCGGCATCTGAAACAGAGGACTGGCAGTCTTGCGTGGCAGGCCGTCCTTTCGTCGCATGGGCATGGCCCTCCTTCGCGTGAGCAGAATGTGGCCCAGCAGCCACACCGTGCAGCAGCTGTGCCAGACAAGCATCCACCTTCTCCAAACACAAAAAGGAAGGCAGACCCCGCTTCTCACTGCACTGGCCACACTTGTTCATTGTGCCATTGCCTGCTGGGAGATTCGATCCAAGGCTGCCTCAATCCTCGCGTACTCGCTTGTCATGGCGGGGCCTCGGCTCGACTGTACTCGGCAAAAGGCGACAGAGGAATCTGTACTTGGACCTGAGCTGAGGGGGCCACCTGAGGCTGTTGTGCCCTCGTTCTTCGACGTTTTCCTGGGCTACTGAATCTTCAAATCAAGCTGTCAAGTCGGACCAGGCACTGAGTCTGAGACAAGGGGTGAGAAAACCGGAGCTGTCCCAGACTAGAATCAGGATCGGTCTTGCCACCTTCGGTGCATGCGTCGCTCCGCCGTCTGCTTCCTCCACTTGCCACCTGAGCTGCAACTCAACGTCCGCACGGTCAAACTCAGGCAGCCAAGCCCGAGTCTCTGAGCTCTGGGCGGCAAGATGTCATCTGAAGGCATCGAAGAGCTCCAGGACTAGCGCGTCGGAGCGCAGAGGGGCCGCAGCTGCATGCGGTTCGAGAAAATGCGCACCTATTGCCTGCTAACTTATGGACGTCCAGAAAAGTTGGACGAAGCAACTATGCCCTAGAATCAATTCGCGAATCCCTCCCTGCAAGCCCGTGGCAGCGGCAAGAACCACATGTGAGCATGGTGCTGCCAACTTAGCAGAGCCAGGTAGCCAGAAGTTCAGCTTAGCCGAACCACTGCGTTTTGCTCAGCCAGGTTCGTCTTGTTGTGGAGGAGGCTTGCGCTTCCGCTAGATTTGGCATTGATGAGGTGTAACGTTTCGGCGAGTTTAGGGCAAACGAGGCGGGCAGCTTGTTTGCAGATGGTCGCCGGACGTGTGGTGACTGCTAAAAATCGCAAATAACCCCGCTGCTTCAACGCATTGGTTGCTGGTACGAGCAATATCCACAGGGCACCGTCGTTTTGACATCTCGCCCGCCCAAATGGCATCTTAGACTCAACATGCATCTGCAACGGAAGCAGGAGGTTTGTAGGGGAATCTTGCCCATCCTGCAAATATTCAACCCGCCAATCTGCTGGAATCCTACAAATCCCAGTATATACACACCGGGCATGCCTTAGCATCATCTTCCTCGTCTGAGCTCCGGCAGCCTGCACATGCACATAGTCCGATGCATCCCGGCTAGTAAAAGCGAAAATGCAGAAACATATTAGGTTGCGGAATCATTCGTCACCTTGCTGTCATCGCATCATCGCCATCATCATGACCACCATCACCATCAGATTGTTATCAGCAGCTGCAGCGGCAGCATCCGGAGCGAAGGACGTGCGAAGCGGCTGGTCGAAAGCTGTCTGGCCTGGACCCACCGGTAGCTCTTCAACCTCGGCGGCACGGAGTCATCGCGCCCTCTCTTGAGGTCCCTGTTGTCGACTTTTCAGAGCCGGGGGAGGCAGGAATTGACGAAACTGCTGAGCAAATCTGGGAAAATGCGACTGCAAGATCCTCAAGCGGATCCCGTGGTCTCGGAAAAGAACGTCGTCCTCGCCAAAGGCATAGCCAACTTAGCCCTCAGCAGCACCGGGGAAGATCTCCTTGATGCTCATGAACCTCTTGCAGCAGGTGCTCAGTTGGAACCCAGACTTGTCGCTTGCTTCAGGTGCTTAGGCAAGACCGGAGCCCCTTTTTACCGCTTGTGGGACTTGCAATCAAAGTTCAGGAACCTAGTGGCGAGGTTTCAAAGAGCCACTTCAAAAAATGCGGCTACAGGGAGAACAAGCCTGCTGCTGCAAATGCTGACATCATCTTGCATGCCGCAGCCGCACTTCAGACATTATAAAATGAAGTTCCCTCGGCAAATACTTCAGAAACAGCACCAGAGCCTCAGTTCTCAAGATGGCTCGCGGCTAACACCGGGTTCGAAAACACAAGTTGGGGATGCCTTAAGATGAGTAGGAAGATTTGCCAACCTGGCACAGAAACACAGCAAACTAGAGTCACGGAATCGATTCGAAGCTTCTGCTGGCTGCCTTCGGATAGTCGCCGTCCCGGCTACTTTTGAAAGCCAGCTGAGCTGCCTGCCGGCCACGTCACGGACTCACAAACTGAAATTCCTCTGTACTCTGCGGCACCTTGACCAGCTGTTTCATCCAGGGCTCGGACTTCTTCCTGCGACAATGGAGACTGGCAAAGATCTCGCGCTGGGGATATGCTGCTGCATGATGTTCGCAGAATGCACGTTTCCTTGACAGGATCTCATAAAGTGTCTTTGATGGGTTTGCTGACAGTGGAGTGAGATATACCCCACTGACGGTAATGCACCTAAAACATCTAAGCCTGAACTCAACCCGCTGTTGCAGCTGCTGCCTGCTACCAATCTGTGAAACCGGAAAACTCTTACGCTGACGCGACACCCAAAGCAGCTGCCAAGCTCGTAACAACTTCCGTCTTCCGAGTAGTGATACTGTCAGCGTGCTTCTTGCACTACTTCTTCGGTGCCTTGGGGAAAAGCTTCAAGAACGAGCTTGTGCTGGCACTTGCACTACAGGATGCGTAGTTGTGTCTGCCGATGCAGAGTCCAAGCAAACAAAAACTGGAGCCTATGCTTGAGTCAGGCTTGCACAAGCTTGAACCCGCTTGAAACTACCCCGTCTCTGTTTATGGACGCAATCCCTGCAACTAGATCAAACAGACATTCGCAAATTACAGCTCGTGCCTACAACCAACATCCATCCGACATGACTTTCAGATACTGCCGGTGCGTCCCGGGAGCTGTTAGCCTGTCGCCCTGTGCCCCTGTGACTGCTCTTGCTGATGCAGTTGACATCACGGCAATGGCAGCAGTGCCCACTGCAGCAGCAGCAGCAGCAGCAACAGCAGCAGCAACCACAACCACAACCACAACCCCAACCAAGCCACAACAACCACAGACGCAACCCCAACACTGTCAGCAATGACGGATCACACATCACTGCAGCTATGGAACTAGAAGTGAAGATATGATATGCTGATTATACAGACAGCTATAGCAAAGATCATATGTATCTTTGCAGGCACTCCTGTTCAAATCAAGGTCGTTAAATGCTACATCCGCGGTGTAGACTTGGAACAGTGCCATTGACTTTACACATGCTCAGGAAGCCAAGTCAGGCTCTTTCTCGGTCGCATGCAAAAGCGATTGTCTCTTTTGCCAAGGTCTCACAAACTCATGGCACACGGCACACTGAAGCTCAACGAAACAAACGAACATCGCCAAGGCCTGCTCAGCATTGTGGAAAGCTGGGCCCGAAGGGCTCCAGATCGCTGCAGAAAGTTCTGGAGCCAGGCATCCTTGACACTTCATGGAAGCCAGGCCTTTCCACGTGTCGCAACAGTTCGATAGGCCTGCTTTCCTTTGAGTTTCGCCTGCACTGACAGGCTCTCTGCTTCCCCATCGTTTCATAAAGCATCTGCTAGTGCCTCGATGGTCTTCTCGTCCTTTGCAATCGCGGAGTCCAGCTTCATCAGGGCATCCACAGTGCAGCCCTGCGGTCCGACAGTGCACGAGATCCTCGAGAAGAACGCTAACCACAACCTCCCAGATCCTCCCAGCCTCTTCCAGACAGCTCTCGATGGCAGAGACACAGCCCTCGTCACACTCGAGGACCTGCCATGTAACCCGTATAAGCTCCGAAGTGCCCGCAGCGCGCAGCGTTCAGGCGCTGGCAGGGAGCTCCCAGCTCTTTTCAGCTGCCTGGCAATACGAGCCCGAACGACCCCGAGTCGTTGGGACATGTTGGGACCCTGCATCACTGTTTCTATGGACTGCAGCCGCCGGACGACTCAAACGGCAAGAGTCGGTGAAGACAATGCGGACCTTCCTTTCCTTTACGGTGCTACTTGTAGGCACGCTGCCATGCGCCGGTTCGGTTCTACCGAAGGTAGGACAGAATCTGGCTACCGCGGTTTGCGAGCTCAATTAATCAAGCTAGCTAGCCGCCGGCCCTCGGCATGCCTCGCTGGCCTCTTCTCACCTGGTTCCTCTAAACATCACTCTCCAAGCTGGCGTTGTACAAAAACAAATCTGCTTCAACAGGCTTGTCCGTAAGCTCACACGCCGTTGCCTGCTTCGCAGGAGCACTGGGCACTTTCCCCATCAAGAAGTCTCGCAGCTCCTCCATACACACACCACCTTCCGCGCGGTTGATGAAAATCACCTACATCAAATGCTGACGGGTCCTGGCTGCGATCCAGGTTGACTTTGCCAGATGTGGCACCTGGCCGCATAAGCCGTCCCCCACGACACTTCTTGAGGCACAGCATCTGTGCCTTGAATGATTTTGCTGGACTGTCCTGCCGGCATGCTTGTTTGAGTGGATAGACAACATCATTCCAGGCATCTGTGACTCGGAAAGGAATTGCAGACGGATATCGGCTGGTCTTGAATGCCAGCCAGGCAAGACTTCTAAGTCTTCTAATCAACGTCGAGACATTTAGCGGGGCTACTCAGCAGGAATTTAAAACAATTGTCGAAACAGAACAGCCTATGCTGCTGCATGTCTCAAATTCCCTCGCAGCATGACATCCCCCTAGCAGAAGGCAGAAATGCAGCTCCGAATGCAGCAGGTGCAACTAAGCTTTGCAGAAGCTCCTCGAGGGAGTGCCGGCATCGAGGTGACGAAGGTCCCTCGAAATTCAGGTGCTGATCCGACACACAAACTCTGTTAAGACGAGACCTTTCAGACAGCTGTGGTCGTAGCTGTTCCAATAGAAGCAGGCCACGGCCATGACGACAGCACAACGAAGCCTCAGTAGAAATGTAACGAAGCAGGAACAAATACCCCTGCTCAGCTACTGCCCCCTTACTCCCACTCCTTGACTCCCACTCCTCTTCCTGCTTCTTCTCCTACTACTACTACGACGACGACGACTACGACTACGACTCCGGCTACTGCTACCGCTACTGCTACTGCCACTGCCACTGCTGCTGATGCTGTTGGTGCTGCTGCTGCTGCTGCTGCTGCTGCTACTACTACTACTACTACTTCTACTTCTCCTTCTTCTTCTTCTTCTGCTTCTTCTCCTTTTACTACTACTACTACGACGACGACGACTACTAACTACTACTGCTGTTACTACTACTACGACTACTGCTGCTACTGCTGCTGCTACTACTACTACTACTACTTCTACTACTACTACTACTACTACTACGCCTACTCCTACTACCACTACTACTACTACTACGCCTACTCCTACTACCACCACTACTACTACTACTACTACTACTACTACTATTGACATCTCGCTGACACACCATGCAGCACAGAACGCAAAGACTCATCAAACACTTGCAGAATCTTTTGCCCGGACTCTTGGAATGGCTTCGCTGTTGGCAGGCGGCGTCTGACTGAACCTGTCCTGTGCAGTATAAATTGCACGCGTTCAGTCGGCACCCCGCCATGTTCTATATAGGGTGGTGTGGGCCGGTGTGAAACAGGACGCAACCGCACCTATGCGTTCGGGTGACTAGGCTTCCAACCGTATCTTCTTTGGAAGCCCACAAAGTCACCGAAGCATGGTGGTGAAGGAGCAGATGCCCGCGACGAAGTGCGGCTAGGTCGATGTCTCGCAACACAATCCAAGATCCCAATCCTACGATCCCAAACCACGATGGCTTTCTCGCACTCTCCAAATTTGCCAGTTCCCAGGAAGAGGTTCCCTATTTGGAAGGAGTTCTTGAGTGGTGTTCCGCCAATGCCGCGTTCCACTGAACGAATCGCATCTCTCATCGCCAACTCGGCTTCGGCGGAAAGAGCTGCGCACATCGTCTCGGCATGAGCTCGGCGATAAGCCGTTATCCTGCGTTTTGGTGCCAACGACGATCTTGTGGACCGCGTCCTCGGTCACGGGCGTGAGATTGATTGGCCACGCCGACGCCAATGATTCTACTGTGCGAAGACGAGCTCCTTGGGACGCCCTACCGCTGCCGCGCGCTGCTAGACCAGATGTCATCCTTGTACATCGCTAACGTTCCATTGCAGCTGCCATTGCATTTCTCGGGCTTATTTTGCCTCTAATGCTCTCTGCAGAGAGCCTCCTGATTAAAGTTGGGGGTGCGGCATGTCCCGAGGCTTCTCCATCTCGGCGCTCACAATGGAACTGATGTCGAGGCGATGTCCCCGAGATCCAGCGAAGTTCTTCCCGAACACAAAAATCAAGACTGCCTCCGCATTGATCATCAAGTCGGATCTGTCGCTTCGTAAGGTCCAGGCACCTTTCAGCTCCTCGAGAGAAGTGACCCCGGCTGCCTCGAATTCCTCGATCGCTGTCGCACACAACCCAGCATCTAGGGCTGCTTGCGCTTGCAAACGTGTTCTGGTAACCGAAGTTCATGGCGAGCTGCCTTGGGTTCCCTGGCAGGTCAAAATTCTTTTAATTATTGAAAGATCCTGCTGAGATGGCGATTACACGTGGCAACCTACACAAGCAAGCATCAATCGCAAGACGATCCCCACTCCGATAACCTACACACAGCAAGTCACACATTCCGTAAAAGCCCATTCTCCACAAGCACGGAAAGACAGCCCGTCTTTCGGTCAGAGCTGCCGACTTGCACTGGCAGTATCCCAGAGCATCAACTACAAAGACACCGTAGGGAAGAGTTTAAGGGCCGCTGTGCGCCAATGCCAGCAGCCGCCCGTTGTTCAGCCGCTCACATTTCACGCGCACCTTCAATCATGGCACGATGCGGGGGGTGCGAAGAAGGACAGAAAGCTTCACGGTTCTGAGTCAAGCCGGTGCTGCGGTTTTGACGCTCGTCCATTTCAGTCAGTCAGTGCACAAGTGCACACCGTATTATTACTACTACTACTACTACTACCACCACTACCACTACCACTACCACTACCACTACCACTACCACTACCACTACCACTACCACTACCACTACCACTACCACTACCACCACCACCTACTGCAGCACTGCCAGTACGATTGGTACTACTACCACAACGGCTACAATTCCCACTACTGGCCACCTCTGCAACTACATGCAGTGCCTCTATCTGTGTCTGTGCCTGTGTCTCACAGACTCCCGCTGCGAGATGGCTACTGTTGGGGTTCTCATGCTTCCATCTCCTGCATTCGGGATCCTCGTAGTTCCAGTACTATTGCAGGGCCGAGAACTGAATAACTTCAAAGACCAGTAATGGAAAATATCCTCACAGACTCACAGAGACTACACGTAAACCTTCCGGAATCAGAAGTTTGTGATATCTCCTGCTAGTAAGTTGTTCAGCTCACGACCTTCACGTGGCGCATGCGCCCACACAGAGCACATCTTGGGATGAGCAGTTCTACCCAAGCGGCGATCTGTGTGCACCCCGCATACTTGAACAGGACAGGGCCTGCGCGCGGCTTCACATGTCTGCGATGCCACAACGGCAGATGTGGTCAGTGTCAAGGGCAGCTCAGACAGGAACTGTTCACTCGCGTAGCAGCTCACGATTTCTGGCTTTTTTGCGAGAAGACACGCAGTTCTTGAACAGTTACGAGAGGATGCGAGCTTCGCAAGGGAGTTTGTCTTTGCTTGGGACTCGTGTTCCCTTGAATTTCTGAAAACGGCTCGTCGCCCACCTCGGGGGTGCAGTCCAGGAGCAGGCAAGACTCGGTCTCTTGAGCCCAAACGTGCCAGGGGAGATGACGTGGCTCAGATCGGAATTAGGAAGCTTTGCTTTGCCAAACGGCCACTTACCTGCCAAGATCCCGGCTCGTTTTCCTGACGGTCCGGAAGGCCCGCCATAGAGCTCTCCCCGGGCCACAGTCGTGGAGGTACCTTGAGCATCTCCAATAGCTCCATACATTTGCGTGAACGTCTGCAGCTGACACCTTGAACGGTGGCGGGTCCCAGCCAGATCGCCTGACCTGAAGCGCAAGCCCCCCCCCCCCCGACAGTGCGATAAGAGAGAAAGCAAAACCGCAAGATTGCGTTTTGACCCTTTGCGGAGCGTCGGTGATCTGATTGTGGTCTTCCAATACAGCAATGCATTCATCCTTCTTGATGCTTTCGACACACCTCTCAGCCGAGCGCTTTCCCATCGGCTTTGGCCTTGGCCTGCTTGTCCTTCTTTGGTTTCGCCGCTTTCCTGGCCTTGGCTGCTGCATTGCTGGCCTGATTCGAAGATGCTTGTCAAACCGTTCTTGACAACACGCAGCCGGTACTGAGTTTTTTCCCTCCTACTTAGGGCGAGAGGGTTTAGTACAGTATGCACGCACCCAATCCGGCCCGATCCCACAAACCCAGGCAGTCTTCAGGCTAGCACATCGGCCACCTCATCTGCATCTCCATCCATCGTTCGCGCGGAGCTCGAGAATCTTGGAGCCCCTGGTTGCTCTCTAAACTCCAAACTCCACAAAATCGTTGAACTCCGAGTAGGTTCGACTGGTCTATATCCAACCCTTGGTGGAAGGCTGGGTGGCCCACCATGCGAAACGTCACTCCATGGCCCAACCACACGGCCGGGCGCTGCAGCAGTCAGTCCGTATTATGGTGTCATGACACAGAGAAGTTGGTTTGGAAGCGAATCTGATCAATGTCTGAACTGAGCTTATCTTCTTTTGCGAAGACCCAATGGGCAGTCGTCATCGAATAATAGTCATGCGAACACGGTAGGCTGACCATTGGTTAGACTAGAGCTCTCTCGCAATGCTGCGCTACGATATATCTTTGCAACAGCAAGGGTGAAAGATGCCCCCAAGCGATGCTGGCACAGCCAAGCTGGATTGAGAAGCGGTTCGGTCAGTCAACAGACTTCTTTGCAAAAACCTCATGGTGACATAATGTGACATATACAGCATGTACACCTTTTTGGCGCATCTGGAGAGAAGTGGCAGGATCAGCCCACCCATGTCCCCCCTGCGCAAAGGCCGGCGTCCTCGCAGGCACGGAAAGAATTGTGAGGTGTCGTGCGCAGACTTGACCACCAAGGCATGCCAAGCCCGTCTCTCCCTTCCTCCTCTCGAACACGCTTTCGCCCATGAGCTGCCTTCAGCTGACTTCTGTTTTGCAGGACAGTACAGTAGTAGGTAACCAAACCACAGCCTCAGTTGTGTCCCAAGGAATCTGGAACTTTGTCACACAAGGCTCGCTCAGCACCTCGGAAAGAGACAGCAGACATGGCCCGCAAAATCCGCATGGTCCGGCATTCTTAGACGCGAGCACGACGAAGACGAGCCCAGTCCACAGTAGCAGGTGGATCCTCCTGCAGTGGCTGCAGTGGTCTCAGTTATGACATGCTTCGACAGACTCTCCTGGAGCGCTGGGTCGTCGTAGTCATGGCGCCTCTTGCTCTGCTTTCCCAAAGCCGGATGCGCAAAAGCCGTCTGCCATCTCTTCATCTCTTCTTTTCTCTGCTTTCCAAGTGGCACATAGTAGCCGACCCGGCAGAACTCTTCTCCTCCGCAGGCAGTACGCGGATATATGCGGATATACGCGGATGCAAGCATGACACGGGGGCATGGCGGCCTCTGTACAAGGCGGAAAGGTAAAGCCCGGCCTGGGCACCGAAGCTCACTGTCACTGTCTGCCCTGAGTGCCCATCCTGGGGCTGCGACAACTTCAAGCGGGCCACCACTAGCCTGGCAAGAACAAAATGAAAAGGACCATGGGAGCTGCCCAATGCATGAAGAACAGGGTCAATGTTCGAGAGACTCCTGGCCTCTATGGCCGACTGAGCTGGAGGGCTGGACTCGAAGCGGAAGCGCTGCACTCCCTTCGTCCATGTTGCACTTGCCTTCTCAATAAAGTAAAGGCATCCCGACCATCCGAGGCCTGTCGCACGCCCGGGCCATCTCCGACATCGATGGACTCTAGCTCCACGTCTTTGCCAGAGGCTGACCAGGCAGCCCGGGCAATCAGCGAGTTCCAGGTCTACTGCAGCAAGTGAGCCTGAATCTGTCACGTACATGCAGCGGAAGAGCAGATCTTCCTTCAGTTCCTGCATCACGTCCAGAGTAACCTGCCACATAGTCACGACGCACTTTCCACAACTCTCGAAGATCTTTTGAGCAATAAATACTTGCGTTGGCGGAAAAGGGAGCCCTCACATGGCTCTGAAATGGAGCCGCTGATTCAAAGCACTTGTCAGCAACATAGACAGTGTGCCCCACAGCCCGGAGTAAGACAGTCGGCCCAGGATGATAAACCTTCAATGGCCCCAGCCGCAAAAATTCGACACTAAGGGTGTTACAACAACCTTACACTACTACCGTAACCTTGTTATAATGACGGAAGCGGCAATGGTGTTGGCCACGGAGCAGCCTTTGAGGCTAGGCCTAAACTACACAAACAAAAGCACGCCGGCCTCGAAAACCAAGTCATCTTCGACCTTGCCACTTCGTCACTTCGATCTTCTGAACTTGACAAGGCCACGAAAGCTGAGGGAGAATCCATCATTTGAGGTGTGCAAAAGGTCCCCCCCCCCCCACACACACCTTAACTATTGCTAAAGGGCCGGATAAGGACCACACTGGCAGAGCCTTTGCACCATTACTACCCCACGTTCGCATTTTTAAGTTCCAACCTGAAAAATTGGCCGAGAGACTCTGCACGGCTCGGGGCCAGCGTCAGACGTGGGTGTTAACACCTGCCAAGCAAGACAAGCTGGAAGCTCGAGCAAAGGCTGAAGGCTGAGGAACCCAAGGACCCAAGGACCCAGCGTGGCTCCTGCCTTCACGTTTGAAATGCTGCAGGCCGCCATGGCTGAAGCATGCCACTGCAAACTGTCCACAGTTTGCTACCCACAAAGCCCCGACCCGAACTTCTCTGGTACAGTGGTACAGTGCACATGATATCCAACGGTGCAGTGAGAAGGGATGCCATTGGGATCTCCAAGTACTTGCAAAAACAATGGAACATTACCGTGGAAGCCTCCTTGGATTCCTGGATCATTCATTTCAGGCCAACGGCAATCGCTCACCCGCGCAAACCAGAATTGGATGGCCTGCTCTGCTCGGCCTATGACCAGCTACCACAGACTGAGATGCTCCAATTTTAACCCTAGCTTCGCACCCATCGCCAACCTTAATTTCCATAGACGGGTCCGTCAATGGGACCCTTGCACGGTGGGCAGTCGATCGAAGGCTCCTCGGTACCGGGAGGTCTATGCGGCAGCCACTGCTTGGCTTGAATTGCTGTCAAGGGCAGATCCCGATCAGAGCACGGTCTTCAGCTCCTCTCTGCGTCAAGGAAGCAATACAAGCTGAAAAAGATTCCTGGCTGACTTCAGCATCACGTCATCTTCCAGCCAGCTGCAAATCATCCTGCAGCCCAAGGTAGCCTGCTCACATCCTGACTACATTTGCAGGGTCTTGCGAGCATATCTCAGCCTCTGAATTAGCATGTTTTCCCCGTCAAGCAGAAGGTAGAACTCGTTCAAGTCAAAGCCGTTGTTGATCTTCCGGTTCGAATAGAAATCCCAATGGCCATCAAAAACGGGAGCGACAAGCTCGTCGCGAATCCAGCTGCCTGCCGCCCTCCCACCTGCCAATTGGAGAAACGGGAAGTCCCTGACCGCGGCGACAATCTGCGAGACGTATGCATCTAGTGCTGCCTGGCCTGAAGGGATAACATTTCATCCGAGCTTGACTGACACATGCCCTACTGCTTGACTCTCTTTCAAGTTTGACAGTGCGCATTGGCTTTCGCAACCCGCTGTAGGCCTTCCAGCTGGTAGCTGTACAAAGTGAATTCCGGGATGGCTCTGCCGCTGCGCACAGCGTCTTCATACGCTTCAGCTCGCTCTTTCAGATCCTTGTCGTACAACTCTGCCTCGAGGTAGTCAATGAGTTGACCGAGATCTATAGAGTTGGTCGAATCGGCTGCACCGACTCGCGCTCGTCGGAGTTCGTGAAGCCTGGAATACTGTTTTTCCGGACACTGTTCGTGCCCGAATTCCGCTTCTAGTCGTCCGATCGGGGTAGGTCTGCTCGTCAAGTACCAGGCTAGGTGCTCCTCCAGCTGGGACTCCGAGATCTGCCTCTTCCCGGCCATCGCGACCACAGCTTGGTTTCACAAGTCTATAATGTAAAACTGAACCTGATCACTAGCTTGTTACATGGCGGTGTCGGAGTTGCTAGGACATGCTACTCTGAAAGTGCAGCAGCATGGCAATCTGTGGGATCTCATCCTCGTCATGTTTCAGCGTATGATAAATCTGACAAATGCTGGCCACTCCTTGAGGTGCACAACACCCACCGCATATTGTCACAATGCAGCACCGGAGCAGCCACCAGTACTCCACTTAGCATCCCTTCAACTTGGGACAGCAGGAGTTTTCTATCGGTGCTGGCAGCACACCACCACGCGTGAGCGTGAGAAGGTGGCTGATGTTCGCGGTAGCAATGCCTGTACATCGTTGTGGCTCTGTGCTGAGCAGCGGCTACTGCGAAGTTTTACAGAAGCAGCTTGTTGCGTCTTTCGGCATGCACCTGCTCTTCTCGAATCTATCCGCAGTAGGGTTCGTGACCAAACCATGCAAGGGGCAATCCAACCTTGTCAGATGTCCTGCGTGCTTTGTCAGCGCTCTGACGGCCTTTACATGACAAGGTGAAACCGAATTTGGCAAACCGTCATTGAAGTTTGCCGGGACTGAAGCGAACATAAAGATCCTACTAGACACTGTTGAGTGGCAATGTGCATGACGGTGTTACTTCTTGATAAACCGGTGCACTCAGCGACAGAGGCAGTGAGGCTGTTCAAGGATTTCTCTGCAGCAACATTTCAGCCATGGCCACCCATGCACCGAGAATGATTTGGCCTTTCGTTCCTAAACGAATGGCACGGAAAGGTTCGATGCAAAGTCTGAAAAGTGAAACGTGAATTGTGAGCTTCATCGAGCCCGGACAGCACTAAGATTCGATACATTTGCTCACAAGTATGGGTTTCCTCCGTGGGGGAGATGGGGGGACTTCTTGCTGCAGGCTGCATGCTAGCATGTACAATCAATCATCTTTAGAGAGGGAATAAGCAAGATGATATGCAGCAATATGCCTCTCAGTGTATACAGTTCTTCAGGAAAGAACTGAACCGCTCCGCGTACATAGCAGGAGGGCAGCACGAAACCCCTTTGCGGTCGTAGCGCAGTGCCTGACATCCATGTCGTGTTACAAGATTGTTTCCGAAACCAGCGGCAGGCATGAATTCTTGAAAGGCAGTCCTTGAACCAATGCTCCAAGTGTTTTCTGCTGTCGTACGGTGTCAGGATGTCAATGATGCCCAAAAAATACAAGACCTGTCTGCCGGCGATCTACACAATGCTCTTGTTGCCACTCGTGCGTGACCAAAGGCCTTCTGGTCAGAGGACAGCATGCCACCCATGTGGGCCTGATGGAATGGAACCTGCTGCGACAAATGAGTTCACATGTGCGGCAATGATGTATGGAGTGTGGGCATAGCAGGCCTCGCCGTGCAAGTCGTCCGATGAAGTCATGCGGACCTTAACTGCACAGACTTTAGTCAGGGCAGAACCAAGAAGACTTCCTCCCAGCAATTCAGTGCCCCGCCGTGGCCCCAGTTGCCATCTGCGGAGTTGCAGACGCACCCCTCAGCCTGACTCGATGCAGAGGCAAAAAGATCCATGTGCGGACCGAATGACCAGGAGGCAGGCCCCATGCAGCTCTCTGGGTTCTCGCCTGCGCTGCACGTGACTTCAAGGTGGCTGTGGAATTAAACACGAGAGGGTGCCGCCTTTCTCTTCAGTGGACTGAGACGGGCCACCAAGCCTCGGTACGTGGCAAGCGAAGGCTGAAGCTTTATGTAAGGCTCTGCTGACATCAGACTTCCGAGCTTCCAGCAAGTAGACGCCCAACAGCAAGGAATAGTCTATAATGTTATTGTCCCGCAAGAAGATGCCTCGGCAAACGCATGGTGCAGTGCAGTGCTCGAGAGCTCTGGGTCGCAAGTTGGTCCCCGGCTGTCTTTTTCGATCTGCGCCACAAGCTTTGCCTTCCGTTCGGCACCAACCAGGATGGATTCATTGGCCTTTGTGAAATCGACATCCTGCAGCGCAAGGGGTGCGCGACTCGTCTGCTACGGCACACAACATAAGTGTTCGCAGGCCGCTCACGAAAGACGACTGTTCTGCGCGTCCTTGAGGGCAACTGACGGATCTTTGTCCTCCTCCTTCGTGACACGGCCAACCCAAGAACCTGCACCCGGCTCGAAGCATCATCATGTAAATCAATCCAAACACGATTGTGGGAGCTGGCTACAAAGCAGCTCAGAGAGACACAAGCACGCTAGCATCCCAGACTGCTAGACGCGTGACGCTCTGCCCACGCAACGACTAATCAGACAGCAGGACGCTCATGCAGGGATACAGTTCCAACGACAAGCGTCGATCAGCAAACTGCGAGGCCAATCAGAATTCCAATTTAAGCCGGGGCCTTTGAGGTCGTACCGTCTGTGGATCTCGAAAGGGGTATTGAACATGTTTCCCATAACCTCTGGCGAACTCTGGAAAGCGAGTGTGAAAGGGAGCGAGAGGAGCCAGAGGGAGGCGTCTAGAGTCTAGAGAGAGCGAGCGAGAGAGCGAGAGAGAGAGAGAGACACAGAGAGAGAGAGAGAGGGAGGCAGAGAGAGCGCGCGAAATAGATAGATAGATAGATAGATAGATAGATAAATAGATGAGAAGATTGCTAGATAGATAAATAGATATAAATTAATGGATAGATAGATAGATAAATAAATAGATGGATGGATAAATAGATAACTAGCTAGCTAGCTAGCCAAGATAAATGTTGGCTCCCACTTAGATAGACAGATAAATAGATGGATAGATAGGTAGATAGATAGACAAATAATTAGGTAGATAGACAGACAGATAAATACATGGAGAGACCGAGAGAGTCAGACAGAAAGACAGCGAGACAGGGAGTCTTTGGAGACAGAGAGACAGAGAGTGAGCAGAGAGAGAGCGAGAGAGAGATCAAGAAACAGAGAAAGACAGAACATGACAAAGAACGACTAAGAGAAAGAGGGAACGAGAGAAATGCAAAAAAAACAGACACAGAGAGAGAGAGAGATAGACAGGGACAGAGGGGCAGAGAGAGCGAGACAAAGGGGGGGAGAGGGAGACGGAGAGAGGAGACACAGGCAGGAAGGGAGAGAGATAGACAAACACAGGGAAAGCGTCAGGCTGAAGGACAGAGTAGATATAGTGAGCAAGACAGCGAAGGAGCTAAGGTGGGTGGAAGAGAGGGAGAGGGAGAAAGAGGCAGAATGGCAATGTGCACACGCACACGCGCACACACACACACACATGCACACGCACGCACAAGCAAGCACAAGCACGCACGTGCTCACGCGCGCGCACGCACACAGAGAGAGAGAGAGAGAGAGAGAGAGAGAGAGATGCACGCCACATGCCGTTTTTTGCGTGATCATGGGCATGTCTTTCTCACCAAATTTGCACATGTAAACACGTATACATGCAGACGCACTTGCTGTTGCATTCTGTTGCATCTGCACATTGGCGAGTTCTCTCGCCTGTGCCTGCACCGATATTTCGAATCGATGCTTGGCTTAGGCCAAGAAAGCAACCCGAACAAGCTGAGGGTGCAGCGACGAAGTACACTTTCTGGACGGCCGAGCCCTGCAAAACAAAGGATGCAAAGCAACAAAGCCAGAGTTACAGACCCTTAACAGAAGCCGCGCGTGTCTGCGACACTCACACCCACGGGTCCACACGGGGCTTGACCCGGGGTTCGTGCTGCAACCGAGCCTTGAACGTAAAACTTCTGCAGGGCCAAGGGCTATCGCTGGGCGCGTGGGCATGATGGCTGACACCTCTCCCTCTTGCTTTCGCCAGGGTTAGAGGCAGGAGCTGATACCCCCTGCCTGCGCGCATCAGCGCACCCGTTTGTTACGGGGCGTTTTTTGATTAGCTGCATGCACCACCTAGGCAGATTTCGTCAGTATGTTCCAGAAGCAACCAATCAGCCTGGTCAAAAGCAATCAAAGGGGGTGAGCCCACTACCACGACGGCAGCATGAATGTCATGACGAAGTGTCATCTGGGGTATTCCCAGCGTGGTGGCCAGACGGCGCACTTGGATTGAGGCACTGGGTTGCTGACTCCCTCCCTCTCTCTCTCTACCAAGTAAGCGGCACGGGCAGCGTCCAGGCCTGTACCTCGCGCGCGTGCGCGCACCCGCAGTCCACCGGGAGTCTAACACACACCCCCGGAATTTTCCACCGAGGGTCTCGGCTGTACGAAGATGGCCCGTGTGTCCTTTGCCTCCAGTGAGGCATTGCTGGCATATGTCAGCGGTACTTCCCCTGCCCATCATGCGAGGGTCTCGTCCCTCTTCTTTGTCCATGGCGGGCACCTCTGTAGGGCAAACTATTTATTCTTGGTGTCCCTGCCAAAATCACGGACTTGACGATGTTAAAGCCGTCGATCGAGGTACATCCCCGGGTGGATCGGTTTGTCGAAGTAGTTCGTGAGTAGGATCGCCGAGGCCTTTCAGGTACGAGGTACTTAGGCAGCGGCCCGCGCCTCTGCCCGTGGGCCAGAGGGCGGCCTCGAAGAGGGTGTGCTCCCCGAACTGACACCCTCCTGAACCGTTGCACAACGATCTCCCCTGCAGAAGCGGTGAGCACGGACAGCGTGGACTCTGCAGTGAACTTGTACTGCAATCGCGGCGGAAGATAGAAAGAAAGGGGGAGTGAAGAGGGCAACCTCCCGGATATGTGGCCCTCAAAGCAAGTGGAAAAGAAGGAGAAGAGGGGCAGAGAGGCCACTCTCCCTTGGACCGCTCGCGGGTTGAGCCAAAATCTTTCCCTCTTTCTTTCTTTCGCCAGGGCTGTGGGCAGAGGTTGCCCCTCTGCCCGTGCGCATCAGTGCCCCCATATGTTAGAAAGTCTCTCACTTCTGAAGTCCCTCTTCTTCAGCACAGTTAAGGGAGAGCGCGCTTGCCCCCTCCCTGCGCGCGGGCGCGCACTGGTCCTTGCGTCCTGTCTGCAACTACCACACAGATGAGGCAGGTGGCCTGCACCGGACATCCCCCAACCCTGGACGAAACTATGTAACCCCCCGCCTCATCTGCAACTGAGGGTGGCGCATGCGCTGTGCCCCTTCTGGCAGCTTATTGCTGCTCTGACAGCACGTGTGGCTCCGTCTTGTGCCCCCAAGCAAGACTACGTCACTGATAACACGTGAACACAACTGCTTACTTCCCCGACGGGCCTTCCTGTACAGCATGCCCTCGTTGCTCGCACTACCGACTGAGGTCCAGGCCATGCCCCCCTAGGAAGCACTGCAAACCCACTGCAAGGCCACTGCACCCCCTGGTAACTAAACTATAGGTGTTGGGCTGGCTACTGACTGGACCTGAGGTGTGCACTCTGAGGCTCAGACCTGACACCGAAAGAAAATAAACCCCCTGGACAAGCTAACACGTTCAGTTGCCCCCCGTCTGCAGCCTCGGAGCGTTCACGGTGCCCCTTCAAAGGCTGAGTGCATCCTACGCCTACGGTGGCTGCTCATTCCCCCTTCAGTGCGGCGCCGGGTGAAAAGTGAAGTTGCTTCCCTCTCCGCTTGCTCGGCTGCCTCTTCTGCTTGTCGTTGCTCGTACTCCTCCATGGCGGCGATGAGGTCGGCATCTGTTGGCCCCCCTTCGTCTTCGGTACTTCTTTCGTCTCGTCCGTCCCCCGAACTTGGAAGACTGCCCGGCCATTGTTCAGCCCCCGGTGGTGGCTGCCAGCTGCTTCTCGCCTTCTCTGACTGCTGGTTCTGCTCGTCCCCCTCATCCGTGGTTTGGGTGTCCACCAAGTGGGCCCCCTGTTGCGTTTGCCACATCGCCATCATGGCCAGGATGTTGAGAACTTGAGCGTGCTGCCTGGCTGCAAGAAATCCCAGGGAACGTCTGATGTCCCCCAGGATGGCCTCCAAGCGGGCCTGGCGGTCTTGGGGACGTGGCGGCGCTTCGTCCCCCCCACTGTAGAGTGCCAGCACGTCCGAGCAGTGGACGTAGTTGGTTTCCCCTGCCTCGTCCACGACTTGCTCTGCGTCTTCCAAGAGCACCCCAACGGCTGCTCCCCAACTGCCCGAGCACCAGTCTAAGTCGCCTTCCATAGTTAGAGCCTGCGCCTCCTGCACCGCAGTGATTGCCTGTTGAAGCCCCGCTGTTCCATGTCTGAGCAGGTTGCCCCCCTGCCCTGCAGTTGCCTGGTGAAAGTGGCTGCTCCCCTCACGGAGCAGCTGCAGTGCCACTCTGAGGTCTTCGTAGAGCTGGTGCTGGTTGAAGCCGTTGACCTCGTCCTCCTCGTGCCACAGGTCCAGGAGGCGCAGTCTGGCTGCCCGGACCGAGTTGTCCTTCCGCTTCTTCCCCCTCTGCGGCAGGGCTTGCTGCGCTTGCCGGAGGCCATCTTCGAAGACTGCTATGGCACTTTCCAGCTCGTAGCGGAGTGGCATGGGCATCTGCCTCTCCTCCCCCCAAGCCGCTAGCTCTCGGAGCCAGCGCAGCATCTGCGCCACTTCTTGCGGTAGGGCCGGCACAGATCGCCCCTCTCCATGGCTTGCCTGTCCTACCTGACTATCTAGCTGAGTGCTGGCTATGTCACGGCGTTGCATGAAGGAGGGGTGGTCCTGGTCTGGCGTTGGCGTGGGCGGCTCTGTCTCTGCTGTTGGGCTTGGTGTGGGCCGGGGGGCGGGGCTGGGTCCAACTGCAGGTCCCCCGCCTCTGGCGTCAAAACGGTGTGTGTTGGCTGGACTCGGGATAAAGTTCATTGCCATCTGCTCCCACTGCCCGAGAGGGTATGTTTCCCCTGGTGGGTATGGTCGTTGGATGGGGTGGGTGCCTTGCTGCCTCCCCCAGTCGTAGTAGTATTGGTGTGCCACTTTGCGGGGCAGGCTGCTGGGCTGCCATCTTGCTGTGGCTGTGTCCCATGAAAGTAGGTATGCTTCCCCTGGGTGCAGCTCTGCTCCGTCTGTGTCGACATGCCGCCCGACTGCTGTTATGACCATGAGCCAGCGGTCTGGTGCCCCTGCCACAAGGTCCCCCCAAGGGAGAAGGGTGAAGGCCGTGTGGACCCCGATGTAGGCGTTGGGCAGCGGCTGGGTGGGTTGGATGTGCTGCCTGGCTCGTGTGTAGCCACGTGCAGGTTGCGGTCCGTAGTCTGGGCCATGGGTGGCTCCATCAGGCATGGTGATGCCAGCCCACACTCCGAAGGAAGGGCAGTGCTCGCATGTGAAGTGTGACCCC